TGTAGGTTACAATAATACTACTTACGATTTTTAGAAAAATGATCACATTTCTTTATAAAATTATAAACAATTTTTCTACAAAATAAGTTTTCTACCCTCATTCGTTTTTAAAATATTAAGGAAAATATTTTTTTCTATAATGTTGAGTTATAAAATGAAATATTTCAATTATTATACATTTAACGAAATATATTTTGCATAAATAAATTCTTACTGTAATTATACTTTGTCGCTGAAATATGTTTTATTCTATAAAGAAGTATATAATCTCATACATTAGTATCTAGAACTGGATCTTTAATACATAGTAAGCGAATATTTTAAAAGAATATTGGAGATGAACAATTGTCTTGATACAAATTTGAACAGGACAGCTACTGTGATTGCATAGGTTTGGATTATCTTGAGATATGCAACATAAGTTGCTTACCTAAATATATGTACTTATAGCAAAATGAACATCAAGGTGAAGAAAAAAAAATAGAAGAAGAAGAGGATTCAGATTCAAATATCGGTAGTACTACAGAATTCGACAGTCTCACAAGAAATTCTACTGCAAGTAGTGATAGTGGAGTCACTGAATCTGATCAGGATAACAGTAATATGGGCCATAACACAAACTCTAACACAAAAATTATAGGACAGGTATCACAAAGACTTTAACATGCATTCTAGAATTTTTTCTAGAATTGTTATGATAAAAACTTCTGAATCTTTTATTGCTGGCAATTGTTTATTTGCTAAAGCACTGATTATACAGAATGTCCAAAAAATTAAAAAACATACAAATATTTAAAATAAACAATTAATGTAGAAGTATGTAGTCATTTAAATTAATCAAATTAGTTTACATGGATGTATATGTTTCATTCCTTCCAAATTTATATTAAGTAATATAGTAGATTCACAAAAACATTATGTACGTTAAAAGTACTTTTTAAGAATATTGTGGAAAATAAAATATGCTTTACAGAAAAAATAACTGAATACTTGCACATATGTTTAATGCACTACATAAATTGAAGAATATACTTTTTGGACATTCCATATACATAGACGTACAAGATAGGTTACCTAAGATTGCAATTGTAAGTACTTTTATTGTGCTGCGTTACAGAACTAATTTGAGGTAGAAATGTTTGATTTAAAAGAGTACATTACAGAAAATGTATTTTTGTTAGATTAGAGTTTTCGAATTTTTAACTTATTTATATTATTTCTAACATAATAAAAAAGTACAAATGCAGGGAAACTTAGAAATATTATGCGCTGATAAAATTTTGTTAAATGTTCACATTCGAAAGAAGGAGACAAGGTGTTCTCTCAAAGAGAATTACCATAATCAGTATATCTTTTTTATTATTCTCTGTTTCTGCTTTGAAATTGTTGCAATAAAATTATATTATAAATGCTAGTAGTATATATACAATATAATTATAATGTCTTGTTAAAGTACAATATGTTTAAATATTGATTAATAATTTAAAAATCTAGAAAATTAGCATATTTAATAACGAATGAGTTTTTCAAATCAAACATTACCTGTTTCAGATTTTGTTTTTATATCGCTCAAAACAATTCAATTCTTTGCAATTCCAAACTTAGGTGATTCAACTTGTGTTTTAAACGTATTAAGTTTGCTTATAAAGCAATGCTTCTTAATATTTTTTAGAAGTAGTTGTTTTTTTAAAACAAAACTTTATTATGCATGAGAAGTGTGATACTGTAAATTACTCAATGGTGTGCATGATATAGTTCTGTAAGAAAAATGTAATACGAACGAGTTTATTTAAAGACGAAAATCATAAGTGTAGTAAGATTACTTGATTTATATAATGATGTAAATATTTTACCAAATTTATATTATATTATTTTGGATATTGTACATTATTTCTTTAAATATGAGCGTCAACTGTATTTTATTTTAATTATGTGTATTTGCCTTTTAGATGTTGTATTTTACAAATCATCGATATTTATTATCTAACTATGAATCCTCACAAATCAATAATTTTGAAAACTGTCTAATCTGTAATGTGATTGGAAGTATACTTATCGGAAATGATATAGAATATTGGTTGTTAAACTCTCAGAATTGATTTTAATTATTGAGCCTTCTTCCATTAAATGTATAATATTTTAAATTTAGTTTGTAATAAACTAATATATTTATTTTTGCTGCACGTTAGTGACCATTTGGTCACAGAGTAGTGCTTTATAGACAATGCCCTCTGTACACAAGGGATTAAACGCTAAAAGCTTTCATAATTTAGACATGAAGAAAGCTAGAACAACTTTAATAAATATACATAAATATTTATAATATATACTTCAAATAATTGTAACGTTAATTTACAAAATTATATTAAACAAGATCTCTTGTTTCAGAAGGTCCAGAATCTTTCGAAAAAATACTCGCCGAATTATCCAGTCATCTTTAACATTTTTTTGTGGTTTGGAATTATTTTCGTTTTTTCACTTCTAGCTATTTGCAGTACGTAATAATCATTAATATTTATTTAACTTGCGTATACTATATCATTTTTTAATTCTTCTTTGTTATAAATGCAGTTGCCATTTCTGAGATGGATCCAGGACGCGACTCCATAATATACAGAATGACTTCCAACCGTATGAAGAAAGATAATTAAATGTAAATACAAGTTAATAATATCCAAATTAAAACAGTTTGTATACATATTAGCTGTACTTAAACCAACTCGACATTCATGAACTTGACAGTCATGAACACGCATAATTGTATGATAGTAATATAACGGCTATTATAAAATATTGATGTACACGCTGTTGTATCATATATGAAGTGAACAGTCCGTTGAAATATCCTTTTGTTGTACATTTTCTAGAACTATTAAGTAACCGTATTGAATTCGTGTATAGTAATATGTAAAAATCTATTTACTATAGTTTAAGTTTAATATAAGTAAATGCAGATAATAGTAAATATCAATACATGTTCATCATATAGTTACGAAGTAAAAGTATGAAATCGCATACGTATTTATCAAATCCTGATATTTGGATTATTTTCAATCATTGTGATTATAAAAATACATAAATAATGTAATTTCATATTTCATTTATATACTGTTAATTAATTTTGAGTTGCCTAGGGATATAAAGAATTTTATATTCTCCAGGTTTGAATTAGTTCTGTTTCGATTTGAATTTCTATATTATAAAAGTTTTTATTTGTCATTAAATCTTCAATGAAGCATAATAAATTTCATCCAAACTGTTTTCCTTGTTCATAAATGCATTTTTCATTTTATTCCTTTCCTGATTCATATATTTTCGACAAAGTGAAAGAGATAAAGTCGGGACAACATTCAATAAATATTTAGAAATTATTTAAAAGGTTTTACAGTGAAGGATGTCAAAATGTCAGATAGCGAGATTGTTTAATAAACTAGAATTTCAGTGGTAAGTGGTTCATGTTTATTTCGATGTTCAGTTATTTATTATTAATTGATTAATCAATATAACTTTGTTATTTTTGTATATTTTTTTTATCTACTACAAAATGAACAACTACATTGTTTCGATGAAAAAAATATGACTAAAAATCGTATAATTATGTGTGCATCCGTAAGAATTGTTTAACTGTTTTCACAAGGTGTTAATAATTTACGAAGTTATCAGGAATGGAAATTGCATTTTGTTTCAAACAGAAGAAACACCTTCAACTTTAAAATTCTTTCACGCGAATCGGTGACCTAGTGAATACTGTGACACCGTAGTAATCCTAATGACCAGATCGCGGATGTAATATGTAAATATAGATTCTTGGTCTAATTTGCAAAAAATTATATCAAACAGGAATTTGTTTATCTCACTAAAGATCCCATTAAATTATAAATAAAATAAAAATTTGGTTAAACTGTATTAAATTTTTTATGTTTCTGATCTTCAGATGACGCTACAAATTAATAAAACACATGGTTATTTTCCTCATTGAATGTTTTTTGTATGTCATTTATCAGATCGTGTAGGAATAAGATCGTAAACTACTTTTCTTTCGCATTGCTCATTTTCACATTTATTCTTGTTCACATTTAATCCTTACACACACTGCTGCCCCTTCTTTTTTGTATATTAATGTTTACAAATATTGTTAGATTATCTATAAACAGTAGTTTAATATGAATGAATACAATAAAGAAATCAATAAAAACCATGATTGCACTGCTTTTTTTTCTTAAATAGAAATATGTAATATAGTTAGTAATAGACGGACATACCAACTGGTTGCTATTGAAAGCATATGTGCTTAAAGGGTTCACAAACTGTATTTTTTCGAAAACGAATTTTCACATGAACACATTTCATTTTGGATAATCAATTTGATTTTATAAGCAGAAATATCTTAATGCTTTATTTTTAGCTCACAATTATTCTAGTGCGGGGTTTTAAGCAGGGAAGTAAATCAACTTTTTGAGGGAACGACATAAGTGACTCTTAGTATGAACAAGTGTTCAGAACAATGTTGGAAGGGATCGAGCGAATGTTTAATCTGATTATCGGTTGCGATAGCTTCTTACTTTTCTTGACCTTTATTCTCTGCGCAAGTTAATACCTCTGGATGAAGATGCGGAGCAGGATTGACAGATAATCCGAATGTCGTGTGTCCTTTAATATTAATCATCAGGTTAAATAACAACCCCGAAACATCTCGATTTGAGTCATCGGCCTGTTCACCTTTAACCCAAGATTTCAAACTGTACAAGGCGTAACAAAAATGGTGGTCACTTCTTTCAGGGTGTATCTACACACCTGAATCGTTAGATCATTGAAAAAAAAGATTATCACGAAATTCTTTACTGTTGAAAATAAATGTTAATCCCGAGATGGAAAGAAAATCAAGTTTTCGAGAAAACATCTGATAGAATTTTAAGAAAGACTCGATTTCGTCAGAGTTACTGTTATCCTGCTATTCTTTACGATTTAATCGAATTATAATAAAAATTGCATAATCATATTTGAAAATATAAAGGATAAAGTTTTAACCGCAGTTTTTGGAAAGTTTATTCAAATCTGAAAATGACGATGACGAGAACAGCTTTCTAAAAATAGCGTTCCATTTTTCCAAACAACTGAGTACCTTTTTATCCGACGTCTTTACGCGAGAAGTATCTACCAAAAAAGAGACAAAGGAGAATCGAGCACAAACGTTAGCGTTGCTAAAGCTTTAAAACCTGCGAAGACGTTGAACAGGATAGTTATAGAATGTTCCAATGGGTGCACGCGCGAGTAACAAAAAATGAGGAAGAATAATCGTTCCTTCTTTTTGCAACAAGCCTGCCGACGCCTTTCCCGAATATCGAATTCTCCTGAGAAGAGAAAGATCGGCAATCACTTTATACTCTTTTACTACTCGCTGCCGAAGGTGCGAGCTCCGCCTTCACCGTCCCCACTCGACCCTAGTTCTGGTTGTTCGCGGGGCGACAACACCTGTCGTTACAGCAGAGAACGACCGCGCTTTCTGCCAGTCTACATTCAATCTGGCACGACGTACACACAGCAGTGATCGTTTTGCGAAGTCCGTCCTGTTGTGTCTTTTATCCTGCAAATTGAAGTATCATTTGCAAGACAGTGCGCGTTCGTACGCAACCATCGCCACACCTTCGAATAACAACGCATAATAGAATATCGAAGAACACTTCACAAATCGGTTCACACGCAAACAAATTTCCACGAGCACTGTTTCGGCATCTGACTAATTATTCGGTTACTTGTCAAATACCCTTATCACGTTTCTCTCGTATATTGGCAAACACGATTCAAATGCCTGATACCGAGCGTCATGGTACGTCGTCATTGATTTTGGGACTTGTTACATCAGTGACAGAGCGTGTCGGTGCTAGCACGTGGTAAGGCTGCGCGTTATCTCGTAAAAAGATTTATCGATTCGGCAAACAAACGCGAGCGGAGACCAACTAGATCTTCGAGTTAACGAGAGCCGAGCACTCCGCAATGTCGTTCCACAGGCTGGCCGAAGCTACTGGTCGCAGCGGCGATAAATCAACTCTCGAAATCGTATGAATAAAGATTACCAGTTCGAAGTAAATACTATTTATAAACTAGTTTATCTACGAGATATTTTTAATGTATAGTTACCGAGTACTTTGTAAAATTTCAACTCGAGGGTAATCGCCGACTGCGCTCGGTCGCGCCAGAATTCCGCGAAATGGAGGACGCCGATAAAGGAAAATGGAGCGACGCATATTTCTCTCTTCAGTGAAACTACGGAAAATTAGTCGAATGATTAGTGTATTCACCAAAGAACCTACTGGAGAACACGTGTTTCCACTTAAAGTATGAATTATTACTGACGATTTGATTATTTTTCTATTTCCCATCGACCAGCGTCTCACCCGTAACTCAATTCTCAGCGTCTGGAACGCCTGGAATCGGTTTCGACGCTACGTTGATTCGCGTTCTGGCGCAACCGATTCGATTATCATTTGTTCGCAAACATGTATTATTCCGAGGAGGTCCCGTACAGATTTCGCGAAGTGGCTGTGGCGTCCTTAATGACTCGCTACTTGTCCTGGCTGTCCATATTGCGGAGAAGCCGGAGGCTCGGCGCTCGTAACTTCGGCTTTACGTAATATCGCTTGTGACGACCAAGTTTCTCAAGGTTATGGCACGCAGGAAACGTTCCTTCTAACGAGACCGGCACCGGCCGCCCAGCTGAAATCGCGATTAATAACCGGTGGTTTGCGTCGCGGCGTGTTTGATGTCCAGAGCGGCGTTCGCTGGCGGTCACTTCTTTCGGCTGGGTTCAGGAAACGTCCCCCACAAGGCCTACGAAAATCACACCGGCGCTCGTTGACGGACCCTTATCCGCGTTCGAATTTCAGAGAAGCCCGGAGCAGGTTCGTGGAAACGCGTAGCCGGCTGCGGGGATCATCGAATGCAAATTATTTTCTTCACGGAAATGACGCGCACCGTTGGAAAATAATTGATTCTTCTCCCGGCCATCCACCGATTACGCGCGGCGCGCAGGAGTGTTACAATTAGACTACAACTCCGTCGATTATGACGCGTAAATCTTGCTCGCCGTCATCGCTGCCCAGCAGAAACAAATATCGGATTCGCAGGTGTTTCGGTCGTCCCCGCGAGTGAATGAACAAACTGTCACAGGGTGGTTCGCAGAACGGTTTGGCGAGTCACGGGAATCGCTGTTTTATCGCCGAACGTTTCGAACCGAGGACAATTATGGAATCGAGGGTACAGAGGACTCTGAAGCAAACCCAGCCCTATTTGTTCAACGTGAAATGCTGCTACTGTAACTTCACCGCCCGCGACTGGGAGGACACCTTTGATTGCGACGGCACCGATTACAATTATCCCCATCGACGATTCTGACATCGAGTACGTCGGAATTCGTTTCGAGACCACGTCTCAAGGAGATTCGGAGTTTCGTCGAAGCTGAGAGTACGATCGGCCGTGCGCGCGGTACCGATGAATCGGTATCGGCTGAGCGACTGATATTGAATTAATAAGGACGTTACGTGTAGCATACGGAGCGAGCCGTTCGATTTTATTTCCACGGCGTTCTCTTCACGCGGGAGGAGAGAAAAAGTTTACGAGAAGCCTGTTCCGCTGCCGGCGGAGTTGGCGCGTTCGATCGTCACCGATCGCAGTCAGATCTTCTATCGTCCCGCGGATTTCTGGTCGCGTCTGGTTGGAAGTGGAAGACGGAACACGAGGTGCAACGATGAGTGTCAGGGTCGTCGTAAGCGTGACGGAAATCGCGGACATGAGTCCTAAAGATCGTTACGTGGTCGAGGAGATTGGTAAGTGGATATTTTCTAATAACCGGGATAACGTGTGAGCTATATTCGCAGGCCGTTTCTATTAGATCGGCTGCCTCTTCGATCGGGCGTGCACTCGTTCAGCACGCCCCGCCGTGCCGATGATATTCCGTAATTGATCGCCAACAGTAGGAACGATTGAATTTTCTCGGAATGTTCACAACGATCGAAGGAACCTGTAAAAGGAATTTTAAGTAACCGAGCGGGCAGATAACAATGCAAAGTAGAAATCGTGTTATTCAATACTCATCGTATTACCGGGCAACCGCAAAACGACGCCACGGCGGTCACAAGCGACCACTGGTAAAGTAAACTGTTAATGCGGATGTAGTCTTATTTAACCAGAATAAGTCACATTTTATCGTGTAACGATACGTTTGCCAAGTTTCTTGTTCGGTCGCGTGTCTTGTTGCCCAAGGTTCTAGAGTTCGCGCTCTTTCTCGCAGCCCTCGCTAACTTTACAATATAGAACCATAGTTGTGGCTACAGTAACACATTTTTTTTATAAACACGTTTATCAGATGAAGAAATAAAAACAAAGGGACGATGTATACGAATGAAATAACTTACACCATACTTTTTTTTTCCTTTTATCGTTGCTCATTAATTCGAATTTTAATTTATCAGGCCGTACATCACTCTCTCATAATGATAATGTTTAGTTTACGAATTGCTTAGCAAACAGGGATGACTTTTTCCAAATTTTTGAGACTGACAAAAGATTTTTTTTCCCAAGATATTTTTGAAGTACGTCATCGTTCTTTTGTCCAATATCAGGCTCCTTTTCCGAAGGAACGCAATGTCAAACTGCTTGCCATTTATAAGCTTTTAAATGAATAACCTTAAGACAACCGATGGTTGGATGATCCAATACAGTCACCAGTCGTTAACTGACGACTACTTTGTCGCGTGCGCTGTCTGCCAAGACCGAACGCAGCTCCGAGACCCTATCATAATACCATCGAAAGCAAAATGACGTCAGACCGTTCGCCTTCCATACACGGTTGCACGTGCAAAATTTTGTCGGTCGGTTAATCCATTAACTCTGGAAACACCGGCATCGCTGGCGGTCATTGTTAGAATGGTTACTACGTAGAACAGAAATTATGCGGATCAAGAGAATCATTTTGTTTTAAAATGCAATTGAGGATGCGCATCGACAAGCTCCATTTGCATGCCATAATGATACGTGAGATTTATCAAGGAACATTACGGGCACAGTAAAATACAAGCTAATGGTAATTTCAAATATCCAATTGCAGCAACACGTCAACGTGGGTAATAAAGGATTGTTTTGGTTAACGGGATTTTAAAAAATTCACATTCGTATTACAGTACTGGCAGTCTTCACAATTTAGAGAATACGTCCGGCGAACGAATGTTGAATTTTAGGAACTTTAAATGTGTTCTTCTTGAAATTGGACTTTGTAGTGTCGTGTAGTTTTCTTGGAATCCATTAAACCCATTATTGTTTCTATTTCCTACAAATTGTATTGTATAACATGTAATATGAAAGAGAAAACAATGGGTTCGATAGTTTCCAAGAAAAATACATGAGTACTGTGAAGTTTGATTTCGAGAAAAACGTGTTTAAAGATTTCAAAGTTTGCATATTTAGAAGACTCGTTGTTATTAAATGCAAAGTAAGATGAAGCCTTAGTAGTTGGTAACTATGTGATGTTTTTGTTTCAGTAAGGTACACACACTCATGTTTGTTATAAATGCATAGAAACCGCAGTCTATCTATCATTATCGACATGCGTTTGATTTCAAGGTCGGCTGATGATTCGATGGTTGTTGCTCCTACGTAGCAATAAACTCATGGAACTACGGTTATGCTCAGTGCCAACATTATCTGTCTATAGATGTGTGTAACAATACACACATACGACAAACGTAATTTTCATAATGTCTTCTTTATACGGCGGATTACATGATGGATTTATGATGTTTGTAAACGTACGAAAAATCAATTACTCATTCGGGAGATCTATTAATACATGATAAATGTCTCTGCTTATTTTTATTTTTTGTCCTAGCTTGGAGAAACTAGATCCTGCATAAATATCCGCTATATAAATGTTACTGGTGTGACTACACAAGTTCAATATACCACTATACATATTCCAATATAATTGATAGACTGCAGATCTTCGTGCAAATACAATATTCAAGAAAACAGAATTGCAATAGAGAACGGTTTTCCCTAAGAAACATTACAACAGTTACCATACTTTAGATATTTTATACATTATTACTCATTAATATATAATTCTGTTCAATTTGGAACTATTCAATTTGCTATTTTAATATATATATAACACGAACGCTTCCGTATATTGTGTAAACAAGTAATTTTTAAAATATATATAACATAATTCTTAAAATATCCAGAGTTATGTTCTTTCTTTCAATAGATCCATGTCCGCAGCGGCATCTAAGGTCGACCATTTTCAATTATTGCCTCAATCATGTTAATCTAGGCTGCCCCATTCGCATATAAATGTCAACAAAAACCGATAGGGGTCAACGGTACACCGATACGTTATGCAAATTGTCAAATCGATCCGTTTGTTTTTTTGCCAAATAAATGACACGCTGCCGGCGATATATATTTTGTAGCCGGCGACCTGATACTTTACACTTACACAGAAATGAAGGACGTATAACGTCTGATTGGAACTGGTTTGGCGTGAAAGGAAGCGTTTCGGTGTACGTATGCAGCGTTTGATTCGGCAAAAAGAAAACTCTGATTTCGAGGACCTTCGTCCGCCAAAAAATCTTCCATATGGAAACATACGGTCGGACACGGTCCTTCTCGGCGAGTAGCTTGTGTTTAACAAGAAACGAAGGATAAATGTATAAACTATCTTGCTGAATAATGTATGTATAGTTCAACCTCAATTACTCGGACCACCGTTTAAGGGCATCGGACCTCATAATTACTTTGAAACTGAATTGTCGTTTCGTGAACGCGGACGTTCATCGTTCAATAAGGATAAGTATGTAAATTAAACAAAATAATGATGTGGCCACGATTAAGAAAGATCGTTTGGTCGGTGCTTTACACGAATAGTCTCTTTTTATACTATGCATCTTAAAGTCGAGGAAAAAGTCCTCCGATACTTATATTTCAAAACAGGACGAGTCGTTTAAAAATTAAGAAAAACATTAAAGAAAGGAAAAAATTAGAAATTAGTTTTGCAGTGATTAATATTAAAGAGACATTTTATAGATCCTAAACAAGGACACTTTTTTGTTCGGGCACTTCTGTTAGCTTAGAGTACGTATCCACTTTCGATCTTCTTTAGACGTATTAATTTATAATTCAATGAATATTGGTTTATCTATCAATGAAATTCCATTAAATGTTATTAGAGTTTGCGTTTCACACAGTTCCCGAAGTCTTTGATGTCCCATGAATGCGCGAAGTTTTGTGGTATAGTAATCACTAATATGTTGACTAATTATGGAAATTCGATCTGTTTGTTTGCCCTTTGGTGTTGGGTAAAGAAGGTGCCGCCACTGGCGACCTCGGGGTTTCCCCGGTAGGCATATCCTTGACGCTAGGGGTTCGACCGGAAGTATGTGAGAGATGATAAAAAAATGTTAGGATCTCTTGCTTGGAATAAAAGGATTACGATCCTTTTGTGAACATTTTCACTGGGGATGACGAGTTACACGTCATCCGAGTTTAATTTCACCTCTCAGCAATTCTTCGTTTTCGTGCATATTTAATAAATAATCGTCCTACACCAAACCGCAATGTTCGTACTAATATGAACCACGCAATGTTGAAGTGTATGGTTCGCCAGTGTTCATTATATTAATTGAATTCATCTCGAGTTGTTTGGAAAATATCTAGTTAAAAGTAGAAAATACCCAATTTTTATATTTTCCCACAATAAATTTTAGGATTGAAACCATTCCAATAAAAGTAAATCATATAAATTTTTCATGAAAAATTATGACATAACCTTATTTTGTAGGATATTTCAGTATTCAATAACGACAAATGTGGTTGCAATATACTACATTAATACTGTTTCGCGAATATTCTAGATTTGTTCAGTTTCCTTTTGATAGCGTTCCTGCAGTAAAATATTTCTGCCACTTTTGGAAACATCAATGTAGGATTCCCGATGAGACCATTTTGTCAAATTCGCTTAAGTTCTGTCGCTACCTAAAAATCTTAGATTTTAGGGATTGAAGACAAAATTCGATAATTCTGATTTGACGGAGGAAAATAGAACAAAGGCTTACAAGAACTTTTTATGTAGGTATACTATGTGTAACTGGTAATTACGAGAATTGTTACACAAAGATAAGAGCTTTGAACACCTATCGTCAAATCCTACCGTTATTCGTCAAGGTAGTGAATCAGTTTGATATATGATAAATCTTGGGATTAGAAGCAACGAGAATTAGTTTGTTGTTCTTGCACCGGAGTTCTTATGTACCTGCGTCATTTTAGTCAGTAATCACGTGTACGTTTCATGAAAAACAAACGTATATAGTGATATTAGTGCGGGCGAGTTTCAGCTTCTCATCTTCCATGTTTGCTCGCACGTTTCATGGTTTCAATTCACACTAGTGGTTGATGGAATGTACATCTAACTAGTCTAAAATAATAAAAAAAAGTGTGATACACGCGAAATTGTTCAATACTGCAAAATAACACAATGAGAAGTAACGAATTGCTTTGCGAAAATCTCGTCCATTCTTCTAGTTACACCGGCAGCTATTTATTGCGCGAAAAAAGGAATTCAACAGTACATTACAGAACAATTCCGCGGCAGATAATTACTCTCAAATTGCTGTCGATAAAACATTGCGTATTTTACTGGATAGCAGGAAACTCGATGAAACCTTCACTCAAAGAAAAAAAGATTTCCATGGTCGTTTTTTTTAACGTTAATTTGATATCGGGGGTTGCTAATATATTCTGAAATCAACCACTTTTCTGAAATGTTGTTTTATGT